CACAGTTGAAGGGGCCCTACTTGTCTCTGTTGACTGCATTTTGGACCCAGGTTCCCACTATTAAACTAATGTTTATTTACATCACAGTTACACGCCTAGAAAATTCTCTGAAAACACTGCAAAGCTGGACTGTGACTACAGTCTGATTTAAGGGAAAACCTACCTTATCCCCGAGTTTCTTATCCAGAGGACCCATTTTAACGTCTTGTCACAATCTTACTTTTTACAAGCTTTGGGGTAACAAATGCAAAAAAAAGATTTCTTTGCAAAAAGAGGAAAAATAAATTATTACATCCATTCAGATGTCTACATAACTGTTCTGTAAACCTAATGCTAGTAGATTACAAGGCTTTTGAAGGGTCTTTTTTGTAGAGAAATACTTTCAAAAGGGTTTTGTGATGATGGAAAGTTTTTACAAACTCTGCACTCAGAACACATAGCAATTGCAGAGCAGATCTAATGCAGACATTTTTATTAAGAAACTGAGTAGGCAGCCTTGGAATAAAGTCACGTGGTTTGCCTGTTAGCTCAAGAAGGTCCATTCTAATGGTCATGCAACTGTACTGAAGAAAGACCCATGCAGGAAACATTTGCCAGTTTGACTAAACTTAAGTATAAATTACTGCATTTATTGTATCAGTGAAAACAGCACTCTCTAGCCTACGTGTATACAAATATTCTTCTTGTCTAGAGTTCACTTTTAAATTATTTTGTAGTAAACTAAGTACTCCAACTCAGTATAATCCTAAATATGTCTGTTCCAGGTTAGATATATTTCTGTTTATGAATATAGATGGAATAATGGAACAACACATTTTTTGTCTCTTGCATTTGTGGTTTGGGGTTTTTTTTGTTTTGTTTAACTATATTTTGCAGTTTGGAGCATATGTAATAGCTGTGAAAATTTCATGTCTTTGGCACAAAACATTTCAAAGTTATCAGCGATTTGGGAAGGTTTGGAGGTACCCAGAAATGTTACATCTGGACTGGTAACTGAATTTAAAACTTAAGGACAAATAAAGAAGACAGGCAAAGGAATAAATGCAAAATCTTCTAAATTAAGAGTAGGAATGAAGTTTTTGATTTTGTTAGATTCTGGGATACCTCTCTAGCCACTCTTTCCCCTTCATTCCTGCTGCCTGTGGAATTTGTCTGTGAATTCACCTACGATTTAAAAATGTTTCATCTAAATGTTGCCATCTAAAGCTTTCAGGAAGTTTTAGCTCTCTGAATTCTTTTGCACTTCCCATTTGATGAGTTCTCAACTAGCATTCCTCTCTTTTCTGTGTCCCAGCAACCAAGGCCCTGTGAGATGCAGGGAGTGCGATGTCAGCAGAACTTCAGCTGAATTTAAAGTTGGGGGTGGGGGCATTGGGAATAATTTGGGGGGGATGTATCTAACATGTCAATCTAGTCAATGTTATTTTTTGGTATGTCTGTGTTATCTTACAGCCAATCTAATGATAAAAGCACCTTCCCCCCTTTTTTCTGTCTTCCTGAAACATTGAATTCACTGGCTTTTATCCAAACGGAAGGAATGTCCTGAGAACACCATGTTCTTGGGAGTTCAAGAGTTAACAATTAGAATTAACGACTTTTTTTTCCCCCTTCCTAGGTACTGTGGCCTTGATACCAACTTGTTACCTGGAAACATAGTGGTGGGATTCATGGTCACCCACACGGCGTTTATCATGCACCCATCAAACTTCCTCAGAATCCAACAGCAGCCTCAGGTGGGAGAAGGTAGTGCATGCTGGAGCAGAGTAACTTTATTTTTACCAAAACCTCCTCAGTCTGTCAGGTACAAAAGCAGTATCTTCAGTGATGGCTGTTTCTTGGGCAGTGCTGTACTGGAACTGTTTGAGAATGTGGCAGGTGCTGTGGGGTTATCAACTCACGTTTCTGTGACACCATCCACAAAAGCACCAAGAGGCCTCACTGAGGACTTCAGGCTATGTCTTCAAAAGCTATACTAATTTTTCATTGAGTTTTTGTACCCCCTTTGGTCCTTTTTAAAAGCTGTCAGGCTATTCCCATATAAAGGAAATATTTCCTAGTTAACTGTGAAAGTGTCTTGATGCGTATCTAAATTCTTGTTGATGTGATGAAACATTGTCATTTCTAATGTATGTGTCACCCTTAATTACTGCTCAGATTCAGGATCATGCCATGACTTGTTCTATACAGCTGTCCTGGAACTTCAGGTATGTGGTGGTTGGAGACCACAACCATGGTTAACTTCACAAATGTGAGGCCAACTTAAAAATACTAAAACTTCAAAAGCTAGCCAACCAGATCATATTTGGACCCTTTATGACTATGAAATAAATTCTTCCACAAGGACAATGACTAACATGCAGTATATGAAACTAAGCTCCAGAGCCAACATTTGTGCTGAGGATGGATATTCCTTAATTATCAATAGGAATAGTAATGTGTACACAGGATAATTGCATTCTTGTCACTGGCACAGTGAAGGGATTCTCCCATCTGTTGGAGATATTTTACTTTATTCTGTGGAGGGACAGAATGCAGGTGGGAAATCGCCTGTTGTGTCACGTACAAACGTGTGCCCCTTGTACACTCTGGAAAGCTGGTAACTTGTTCTTCCAAGGTTGCTTTGAAACACATCATGTTTGGAATAATCTACATAGCACTTGAGTTTGAGGGACATCAGCCTCACTGGTGCCTGAAACTTCAGTGGAAAATAACCCTAAATTCTTCCTTTGTAATTAGCAAATATGGTTAATATGCTCCTTGCTGGACATATAAAATGGAATATAGCACACACTAAATTGGAGCAATGAAAAGAGAAGGGCACTGTTTATTAGTGGTGGATGCTTCCAAGTGTTGGGACTACAAGTTGAGTGCAGTTTTGCAAAATTTTTGGCCTTGAAATTTTTTCCACGGATCCTTCTGTCCCCCTGTAAAACTAATTTCATCTGCTAATGGTAACTTGCTGTCTAAGAGTGACGCCACTGTCGCTCAATAAAAAGCCTAAGGCTCCTTGACCACACCAGCAGAACATCAGACACTGCCTTCCATGAACTAGACTTATGCCCTAACTATCTCACAAGAGTATGAACCAGTCTAAACTCCTAAATGTTAGTGCTCAGCAGTAGTAGTGAGGAGATCAGGATCTGATGGTTGTAAGGCTATTTCTGACTTCCAGTCCCACCACCTCATTGTTCTGCTTGCCTTTGGGCAAGCCTAAGGCCTTAGACTAAGACACACTAGTTCTTATTCTCCTTAAAACTAGTTCTGTGTTAACTTCACTGGGATCAAGATCAACTTCTGCACTGCAAATAGCAAAGCATTATGCAACTACTATAAGATACTTGTGTAAGTGTAACGAGATCGGGATGGGCTGCGATCTCCTTTCCTCAGGGAGTTATGAACAGCACCTTGATTGGAATAGGAGACAGATTCAACCTGATTGAATCTTTAAATGGAATTATAGGACAATGAACATCAGCCACTTAGCTCATTTCATAAACTCTAATAATTAAAACTGCATGTGCAATAATAATGGCTATTCCAGATACCCAAGCAAGAAAAATGTCCCTTTGATATGTTGTGGCACAGGCACAATGAAAACATTGAGTTTAATGGAGGATATATGTAATAAGAGTTACCATACAGAACCTGCAGTTGGAAATATATAAACATGCTTCCCAACAGAATTTCACTACGTCACAATTCATTAAGAAAATCGGCAATAACTGACAAGATAGGCACAAAATGGATTTTCATGTTGCTGGGATGAAGTATGGCTCCCAGCAATTAATGGTTTTAGTCATATTAAGCAGATAAATAATGCTATCTGACATTACAGTATTTCACATTACACTAAAATTTCGTAACATTTGCTCATAATATGAGTTGAAATATGTTACCTAGGAAAAAAAATGTTATCTCTGGAACAGTCAAACCCCATTAGAAACCTTAGGCTTGAAAAATCACAATGTTAACAGTTATATCCCCTAGCAAAGGTTTGCTTTCCTTAAATAGTGTTAAATTTAAACCCAGAAGCTCTAGTCTCTTTTGGAGTTACTCTTCTACAGTGCATTGAGCTTGAAAGGGAAATTTAGTGCATGGAATGTACTGTGCCATTACTGAGTGTTGGTGAGAGAAACACTATGAGGAACTGCAGAAAGAGGGGAGCCTGTAGAACGAAATCATATCAGGGACACTTATGTTCTCTAAAAAAATGTTTCTATATTCTGCTTTATTAAAAAAGCTCCTTGTCTTAACATCGCCCCCATTACTCATTATTGATAGATAACTTGATTATTCTAAACCTCATTCTAATTGGCATGTCTGCCTTTTTCAGAGCTGGATATATGCTACCTGAGTATCATTGTCTTGGGGAAAAAAAGCTTTTACAGTAAAATACTATGGGTCTAAATTTCCAGTTTTGCATGAACAACTCTGATTTCAGCATTCTTACTCCTGTAAGTATAGTTTTATACAGGAAAATGCCTGTGTGTACCAAGCATTAATAGGAATCAAGAACAAACAGGGGAACATGATTTCTTTCTTGTGTGATGCTAATTCCACTCCAAATTCATTTAGTAATGTGGAAGGAAATGTGATTGCTTGTCAAAGCACAGATGTGTTTTTTTGTTGGGACAGTGCATAGTGCATTTGGAAGTGTCATGTTTAGCTGAAGGCAACAATGCTTAGTGTCTCAGCACCCAACTCCCACTGAATTTCAACAAGAGTGAGCAAACAACCTTCCCTTGGGCTTCAGTGAAAATCCCTGGCTTAGTATCCAGCCTGAGCTGCAGTTTCCCTTGCAGGAAACAAGCTTTTTCTGAGGTCTTTTAAGGTATTGTTTCCTGAAACAGCAGAAGTGCAGAGAGAGTACTGCAAATCTGTTACTAAAATATGTTAAATTTTGATATGAAAGAACTTAAAAAAAAAGTTCTCAAGATTTTTAGGATTATTGAATACAATAAACCTTTCCAAATTCAAGCCATAAACAAACCAGATGATCGTTTACATGTGCCAAGATACAATTTTATTGCTTCTCAGGTAACGCTGCACTTAGGCATTTATTTAACTTGAGGGTACTCTAAAAGCAAAACCAGTTCACTTATGTCTTATGACATTTGTCCTACTGTATGTTACTAGAAGAGGTAGGGACTTTGCAGAGACATTGCTGGCAATGTCATAAGAAGTGCACACCAAAAGCTCAGTAATGGTGCTATAGCAAGAACATGTAATCTCTGCCAGCCTCTGGTATCTAGATTTAATTATCTTCAATGAGAAGATGTAAAATATTCCACCACAGTTCTTGTATGACCTTATGAAAATGACCCTGCTTACAAAGGTCACAGCTCTGCATTGTCTCATGCTGATTTTCACAGATTTGTTGAACTGCTGAAGTGTATCACAACCCGGGAGTCTCAAAGCTCCTCTCTGGATGGTTATGTGACCTCCAGCGTGTGATGCTGTAGGCCAAACCTTCAAGGAACCTCCCAGTGACTGCTGTGGAGCCCTAATCTCCCAGTTATTATTGTTCAGAAACAATTCTAGTCATAGCAACTATGTATATTGGACTCCTTTCTAGCTTTTTTTTTTTTATTGAGGTGAAGAAGAAACAGTCGGTGCTGTATGTCCAGCTGCTCTTTGTAAATGACCACCCAGTGCTGCAGGAGTTGCCAATGACCCAGTCCTTTGGGAACCACTGGCTTTAGAGGCTTGGTTTGTGCTTTCACATCATTTCTCTGTGTTAGTCTGTGTTATTGCACCTTCACAGTATCAAAAAGAAGTATTGGTTTTATTGTGCTTATTTTAAAACCGGTACATTTAAAACCAACCAAACTTATCTAACTTGGGTATATAAAAATATACATGTAACAACTCACATTATACAGTAAAAAAGAAAGCACCTGTGTGGAAAGCTTACCCTCTTTTTGGGAAGGAGAGCTGTCTTTGTAGAGTTGCTTCACTAACATGTCCTTAAACGTATATACATACAAACCCAGAACTTTAGCCACATAAATCTGTCCTCTTACGTGGCAGAGGAGGCAGAAGGCCCAGAGGGGTGATATGTCTCATTCTTTCTCCATCACAGAGCTGCTGCCATTCACACTGCACGAACAAGAGCCCGGCTCGGGTAAAGCGCGAAAAGCGCGAGGTAAATGATGCTCCGTGTGGCACAATTCCTGCCAGGGAACAGCCCAACCAACAGCCCCCAAACAGCTGTGCGTTCCCCCGCCCTCGGAGTGAGCAGCTGCCCCTCTGAACTCCACATCCCCTCTGCTCTGTGATGGGGGTCAGAGAGAAGGGCCAGCTGCACGTGTTGAACTTGGAAAGCTCTGAACCAGAGGGCTGCTGGATAACTTCTGCAGCACCTCTGACCCAAAGTGGGAGACAAAACCTCTGTGGAGACAAAGGTTGTGTCAAACCTCTTCTCTGGCTCAAAGTCTTAACTTTAAATTGTTATATGCTATTAAAAAAAAGACAACTAAACAGCTTAGTCTGTTTAAACATTAGGTTTCTTTCTAACCCTAGCTGCATTTCACTATGGTAAAAGAGGGTATTTGAAGAAAATATTTCACTATTAAACATCCTTGCAATTATGTTTTTTAGAAGTGCTTTTTCCGTGTCAGGCTCTAATCTACTCAGAAAAGTTACCTTTTTTTTTCCAAAATAAAGCCTGTAGTAACTATATATTGCATATAACCACGTGAAAAGAGTAAAAAGCTATTTCTAAGCGGTTTCTGAGGTAATAAGCTGGCATGTTAAAAATATATTAATGCAAGTTGTTCAGCTGTGAGTGTCCCTTGCCCATCTCCCCCCGAAAGAAGGGATGGACACAGTGATTTCAGTAAAGTGGAGAAAAGGTGTGTAGCATACTGGTTGGTATTTGTATCATAGTTCATCGTGGTTTCTTGTGAGGTCCTCCCCATAATTAGTAGCTTGACTTCCAACGAACATATTCCAGTTGTCAAGAACTTCCTCTTTTGTTAGTTTTTGATCCTGGTAGGAGGAAAACAAAACCTCTGTAAGAACATTTTCAAAGCTAAGTAAAAGACACTTGTAGGAGCTCTGGGAAGCACACAGTTCTTCAAAGCAGCAGACTGCAGGTTCAGGAATCATTTGTAGCTCTAATGGTGAGTGAAATCTGGACTCCAGTGGCTTCATTTGGGTCAAACTGCCAACTGAAAGTTCTTTGTAATGAACTCTCTGCCAAACAGTACATGGGTTATCTGGTACACAGTTTTGCCCTCTGGTTTGGTTTTGCCTTCCTGACAGTAAGAATGAAAATCCTCTGGTGTACTTTGCTGAAGATGGTTGCTATGTCAGCAGTTTACACACTCTCTGTGTAAGAGAGTATTTTGGCTTTTCAGGTTCAGACTTTGCTGACGTTACACTTGTGAAGATCATCATCTGGAATCTAGTGTCCCACACCAGAGGAAGAGGATGTACTGAGTCAGCCTTTAGTGAAAGGTATGTGCTTGATTATAGAACTGAGGGTGATTTTGCTACCCCCTATGTAAATAGGTCTTTATTTTCCTCTTGTAATCTAAATTAACATACAAAAGTCATGACCATTCTTAAAAGAAAAGAGTATTTCTACTGTGTTAAAACACCCAGGTTAATGATGATAAATAGATTCTTTTCTCACCTAATGATAGCCAAGGGAACCTCTCAAGCTGACAAGCTGTATTTTACTACTTTTACTTTGTGATTCTAACCCTACCAACTGAAATTGGCATGGAAACATTAATGCATGAGCAATTCTAGCCTCTAAAACTCCATTTAAAGTGTACTAATAAGAAAAGTTATCAGGAATAAATTGTTGCAAGCTGATATTTAAAAAAAAACCATAACAGCTTGTGTAACTTCTTTAAAAACTACAGTAGAACACTATGTACCTTGTCTGCATCAGACTCATAGACTAAGTGCCTGGCTTCAGCCAGGGCATGATCATAGTCTTGAGGGAGAATCCAGTGCTGAATCTCATCTTTGTCCATCTTTCCATCCTTGTTGAGGTCACGAAAATCTGCAAACTGTTCACGCTCTGTAATCACCCAGTCAGGCTCTGGTCCACCCTCTTCATTTGCAAACATATCAGCTGGAGAGGAAATAAAGGTCTCACTCGAGTCATATTTAATTTGCAAATTATGCACAGGCTAAAGACATTTGCACAGTGTTCCTCAGAGGAAGACCAAACTTTTCACTCTTTGCACAGCATCTCTTTGTACAGAAAATGAAATAGAGTAGCTGTGTGTATCTTGTCTCAGGCCTATTTCTTCACTGCTGGTGATTCTGTCCTTTCTTACATTACCCTTGTCTCACAACTGTGCACTCCTGGTCAGGCTAACATGAGAGGTGAATGTGTTCAAAGGCCATCATCACTGAATTTCAGAATGAAAAAATTCTCTAAGGGTCTTTAGTTAAATAGCAATCACAAGCTTTAGTGCTAGGCTCAGTCACATGGGGAGGAAGGAACCCAGCCATTTTATCTTGTCCCTGCCAGCAAATGTCTTTGTGGATAAGATCAAACTCCAGCCAGCAGAGAGTGATTAAAGGAAAAAAGGCACAGGGGAAATTTAGGCAAACAAAAATTGCTAAATGGAACTTGCATGCTTTTATCCTGCTTTTAGAGAGGTCTGTGTAAGAGATGAGTCTTCTTTTAACCATGCAGTGCTGTAGCATATTCCAGCAGAAGATACTCCCCTACAAAGAATGAGCTGGAGAAGTCATGAATCAGTGGTGGATTCTGTGAAAAACCACAGGCAGAGGCACTTGTCATAGGTTGGTACCTCGGGATGGAGCACCATTTGTGACACAGGATGCAGAGATCACATCAGTCCTGTGCTATATTTAGGAAGCATTGGCAGGACAACGCCACAGTGGCAGCTGCTATCTGCACAAACAGGGTTAGGACGGGAGCAGTGATTATTAAAAGCAAGTGATTTGTAACTGAACTGGTTTTTTGCATCACAGGCCTTCCAAATGATAAGTAGTGTGTCCACTTTGTTCTTCTGGTCACTGTGGCTAATCGCTTTTTGCTCATCAGGGCTGTTTGTCCCTCAAGCCTTCCACTTTTCTAAATAGAATTAAAGCCTGCTTTTTGATACTACTCCTCTTCTATGCCTTTTGTGTTTGGTTGTCAAGGATGTGCTAAGGAAGAGTGCACCCCATGAGGATGGTCTCAGGGCCAGAGGCTGGATGGTATCCATAGGAAACATAAATGGTGATTTCAAAGCTAGGAGTAACCTCCTCTGACTCTGCAGTGTGAGTGTGTACACTAGGCCGAAGCTCTCTATTGCCACTGTCCACAGTGTCCCTGAAATACTCTGTCACCTGCCCGTGCACAATGAGAATTCAGTTCTCTCTGCTCAACGTGATTAGGGATATTTTGCTCTGCTGCTTGTGTAAATCTGAAACAAATTTTGTAAAAGACAAAACAGGAGGAAAGAAGGAGAAGGAGGGAGGAATCATGTGATAACCTTCAGCAGATTTCCCCATCAAATACCCGATCTAGAGACTGACATTTTTGGACTTCTTTTTGTAGAAACTATTTTTGTATAAACTATCAACCATAAACTATCAAAGAAGAGATTTAGTTTTCTGTTGGTTTCTTAACCCCGACTTCATCAAAATTAAAAAATAATTATATCTGAAAAAGGGAAGTAAGAACATCTCAAGCATAGTTTTCTCAACTCATGAAGGAAACTTCAGACAACACATTCACTTTCTTTTTTCATTTTTTAAAGTGCAAATTATATTGTTTATTTGAAGCAACTGACATGTCCTGTCAATTTGATTTTTATCATCCTTGCCAATGTGGGGTGATCGTGACTAGAACATTCTATGTTCCTATCTATAGAAGACAAGAAAAACCAGCATTCACATGGTAACAAATGTTGACAATTACCTTATAATTATACGTAGGTAATGTCACTGAATGAACTGAAATTACTGTGGAAATTATGCTGCTCTGTTATTTCAGTCATAAATGAATAGCATTCACTTTCTGGGCTAAATATAATCTAGAGGGAACAGAACCCCCTGCCATTAATTAACGTGTGTACATTGTTCCTGATTCTGTGTGAAGCGATCTTTACAGCAGCACTTGAAACAAAGATTCATCCAAGTTTGCACTAATGCTTTCCTGGTGCTACCTTCCTGATTTAAAACCCATCAAAACGAGTGCAGTGGAGAAGGTGGGTTCTGGTATCAGAGTAATGATTCAAAAGGCTAAAATGTATCATATACTGCTGCTCTCCACTCCTGCTTCTGTTTTGTCTTCGTAGGTCTAAGTGCAAGACAGCAGCCAACTGCCTGGCGTGACTAAGTTTGTGTAAATTAACTGTGACTGATCTGCTGAGGATGTTTCCCACTTTGTTCTCTTTCTGCCACTGCAGTAATGCACTGCTAACTTTCACACATTTCACAACTTCTTTGAGAATCTTAAATCTTAGCGCGGTTCATTTTTCATGTATCTTCTATTTCTAGGAGAAATACAGTGGTATTAGAGAAGTGTGGGGCTTTACTTACTAATTAGACTAGGAAAAAAACTAGTGGAAACAAAAGGTGAATTTTCTCTTTTTGCAATGTGTGCTTCCTAGCTGGTTTGTATATTTGAGTAACATTCAAACTCGGGAAAAGACTATTTCACTTTCTAATCTTCCTGCATTTCTAAACACTTTCAAACAGCTGTTAACATTGCCTAGTATACAGAGAATATCCCTCTCATGGAAGATATTATTCCAGATCCTCTTCTCTTGTTCTCATATAACTCTTAGCTGAGTTATATGAGAACATGAGGAGAATCTTATGCTGTAAAGTGTGAGGAACCTTTTCCTGGTGATGTTGCTATCTGCCTAAAATGAAATTAGGCTGTACCAACGATCTGAGTTGGATGGTTGGTACAAAACAGTCGAACTGGAACACAGAACTGTTTATCCCTGGGTTGTTGATGCTGCTGCAAATGTGAGAGAAGATGGAAACAATGGATTGGAGATTATGTAAGAAACAAGGGTCAACACTTACCAATGTACTCGTCTTGATCCACGAAACCATCCCCATTTTTGTCTATGTCTTCTAAGGTTTCCTGGAAAATAGTTTTGCATCAAAGTAACCAAGAAAGAACTGAGAATTCTGACTATTTGCCTCTTCGATCATTTAATGTTTTGAGGCCTTGACCTACCCTTGTACACAAGTGAATGTACTCTTACTAACTCCAGTGCGATTGTTGTTTATACAATGAATATACAAATATCCTTTCATGTTGAAAAAATTTCCTGTATGAATGAACTGAATACCATGCTTAAGTCAGGGGCAGATACAAGCCTGCATGAAACACTTGGGTGCTGCATGTCAGCATACCCTTCCTTTTATTTTGGTTTAAGTCTGTGCCCCAAGATTGTTTCTTGATTCCATTGAGGAGCTGTCTAAGTGCACTTAACAAGTCCTTTTTATATCGAGAGTTCTAAATCAAGTGGATTTCATGAAAGGCATCCCTTTCTGTTCCCCACTTAGCTATTATGTGTGTGTCTCTTTCTAAACCCTGCCTGGAAAGGTTAGAGAAGCACTTCAAAGCTCATCCATAAAAATAAAAGTAAAAATAATGGCATTGATTTTGCGCTGCTTACTAGGACAACGATGTTTTTCATGTGCTCAAACTCCTCCGGGTGAAGGAAAGCAGTGAATTCTTCACGAGTGGCAGCCAAGTCTCCATCCAGATCTGCAGTTTTGAATCGTCTTTCATCTCTGGGCAGCATTTTCTTAAAGCTGTGCTGATCAGTTGCATCTTGGAATTCTTCTGGATTTTCTGCAAATTAATCAAGGTGATCTCAAAAGTGTTTTCCTTTAAAACACACTAGCACAATGAAGCTCCCCAACTTGCTGTTTGAGTCTAGAAATACAAAGGCTTATTTCCTTCTCTTTCCTGTGAAGTTTTAAATTCAGGGGTCAAGTACATGTTTTGATTTTTAAAGGTGACAACAGTAGAGGTAAATTTCTTCTATTGAAATCCAGGATAATGGATTTTGCGGTATTATATATTAATCCTCACATATTTAAATTTTATCTGCCTTCACACGCACCACTGAGGTAGCATTTGGGGTAGAATTCATTCACGGAAGTTTTATTCTTCTTTAGGAATTAGGATGATCTACTCAACTTTCCAGTTTCAAGAAGCAGGCAAACCAAGGAAAGGTGGTTTCAGAAGGTGGCAGACTGTCTGAAATTATCTAACTGCTACGCCTCTGCTACAGGGAACCTAACAATTATTTTCAGTTTAAAACAATGACATTCTTTCAGGGTGTTCACTGGTATAAAAGGAATGGTATTTGATATAATTTTTTTTAATAGGATCATTAAACTGACTTCAAACATGAAAAATACTCATAACAATTTCACAGTTCAGATGTTGGGAGACAAACACAGGCGAAAAAGACGAGGCCAGGAATTACAGATGGGAATTGTAAGTATTCATTAAAACAAGCCCACAGTGTAGTATCTGCTCTCCAAATCCTGGGGATTACAGAGAGCAAAGACAAAGGGCTGAGAAGGGTTCCCAGGGATAATGCTGCAGGGATTGTGTGTCAAATATTTCCTTCCACAAATGTAACAGGCTCCATTTTAATCTCAGGTAGACTTTGGAATGATTATTGCTACTGGAAGCTTGGTCTAGAAACTGTCTCTGTGGTAGGTGAATACTGTCTTCTCATTTCCAGTAAATATAAATGGTCAATTAATACTGATTTGTTGTTCTGTCAGTATTGCCCTTTAGCTTAAGTGATCTCTTCTCCTCATTTCCCTTCATTAACTTACAAAAAGCAAGGGAAACGGGTGGGGGCAGAATTCAGGTATATTTTTTAATAAATGTTTCTTTTGCCTGATTTGTTAAGAATTTTCATTTGCAGTGGATCACAGTCTGAAGCATGTTATTCTCCAAAACAATTTTAATCAATAACTTTGCTATGGCTTAGAATCAATTTTTAGCATCTAGAATTAAGATTTTAGAGAGAGTGACTTAACAAATGCAGTTAATTACACAACATATATTTTTTAATTAAAATACCATTTTAAATACTAAAAAAGAATATATTTCTAACCGGAGGAGACTATAATTCAGCTGTGTCAGTACATTTAACAATATCTCTACAAAACCTTCTGTGTGCTGGTGGGCTGCAAGAACTAACTAAAAAGTGCTTTTGACCTCTGAGCATTTATAAAATTTAATGTGAGTTTCAAGAGACTTAAATGAGACACCAAACTTCTGTTGACTGTAAAGCAAGAAACCACACTTTATAATCTCCAAAATCCTTGATCATAAAATCTGAAATTGTCCTCTTACCTAGATAATAACCATATGTGGCTTGTTTGTATTCTTCCCAGGCAATTTTATTGTCCTTGTTTAGATCATAGTCTTTCCAAACTTTAGCCACGTTTTCATAGATATAGCGTTTCTGTACCCGCTTAATCCAGGTTTTTAATTCCTCTGTTGTGAGATAGCCATCTTTGTTGTCATCTATTCTATCCACAATCTTCCTGTAAAAAGAGATCAGCATCCTTAAGAGTTGGCAGAAAAAAAACTTGCATGTCAGGCCACTTTTAGTAATCTTTATCTGGCTCTGATTTTCCACAAAAAAGGAGTGCCCAAAACTCATAAAGCTGCCCTGCCTTAAAGTGGTTAAGGCTTTCCTGCATTTTACAGATTATCTGAAGGGATATGTCTCTATTCTTTATTCAGTATCGCTACAAATAACTGAAATGGAGCTTGTGCAATCAAAATTAGTGGACAAAGGGAACCTCAGATAACACCTGGCTTTCTTAGGTTGTGTCCACTCTCTTAGGGGCACCTGTTCTTCACTGTCAGTAAGGAGTGCCCATGTTGGCTCAGAGCAGGAGACACCAACTTCACTACAGGAGAAAGCCTGTACTTGAGCTTGCTGGAGGCAACCAGGGCAAAAATCTAGGACGTGGTGGACACCTGCAGTTCCTCCCTTGGCTTTCCATCAGACTGACACTTGGGTAGAGTGACTTATTTGACTGCATAATGCTGGGGATGTACATCATGTACAGTCTTCCCTTCCATGCCTGTCCTTCCACTGCTGTTTCTTTTCTTCCATTCCCAATGAGAAGCAGTACTGCTGGTGTTGCCAGGAATGCCTGTTACTTGCTAAAGCACTGTTAGTCTGCAGCAGGTGTCCAGTCATTGCCGGCAGCTGGGACATAAACCCAGCTCTGTGTAAAGCTGCCACCCTCAAGTGCTGTTGAAATCAGGAGTGAAAGGTACTGGTGTACTCCCAGGGAAACTCCCATATTTGAAATGTTCTGCACACAGCTGCAGATAAAACTGACCTGAAAAACCTATGTTAAAAAATAAAAATAGGGCAATGCTGATTTGCCACGCCTATGGAATACCTACATGTCATTGGTATGAAAAGGGTAAAAGCAGGAGCTGACTTATCTAAATCCTGACTTGACATTCAACAGGTGAGCTCCCTAAACCTCCAGGCTGCCAAAGGACACAGGGAGAAGTTCTCCACTCTTAAGTATTCTTTTCAATTCAGCATCTTGGTTCTCCACAAAGAAACCAACCCTGGCCAACTGGAACTGCTTGACCAGTGAAGCAATGTCCTTTCACAAGCCTTACTTATGAAAGTGGTAAGTAGTCAAACAACAGCAGCAGCTTCTGCTGAATTTCCAGCAATCTTGTGTGAGTCCAATAGTATCAGACTGATTTTATAAACATGCCATTTCTGAGCTGGGGGGTGGGGAAGGGGCTGCCGAATTTGCCTTCTGAATTAGTAAAGTATGAATTAACTGACTAGAAAAACCTTTTCTATTTTGCATAAATCTCATGGAGAACTGACTGCCAGTGGTCCCTTTCACTGCGTGATGCACTGTATTTGTCAACAGATTTTCCCCACAATGAATCTGATTCAATTGGTTTATATGGTATTTCCTTCTGTTGTTAAATGTATTAGTCATAATAAATGATTCTGCCAGTAGCTCTTGGCTATTTTTAACATGAAAGAAGTCAGGACTGTTTAGCAGAAGATGTTTCATGCCTTTTCCTTTTCACCTGTTTTTATAGGTCCATTGCATCCATGTGCACTGTTTCACTCTGCTTCTCAGCTGAAGACAGGGACAATGAAATAGTTTTGCCTACAGGCTCCCAAAGGCACAGGTAACAAGCTGTTACTGTATGGACTGTGGACCTCACTTTTTATACTGATAAATTGCCTGTAAAATGGCTTGGGATCATGCTAAGCTTTGTAGTGGAGCTAATGCGTGTTGATCAGTCTGAAAAGCTTTAGTGCCTCAGGTTTAAATGGTTAATTCTTAAATACAGAAAAAATGCAAGGAGCATGTTAACAGACACAAAATGCCAGCTCATAAACAGGAATTTACTTGCACAAGTGTGTAATACCTGAAAGTTTACTTTCTCCCTTTATCTGAAGTGGTATTACAGCCAGTATGAGTTGGTACACACAACCTTCTACCACAGACATTCAAGCTGCCAGTGTGTAAAGACATCTGGTGATGGAACAAAGTTGGGGCAAGGAAACCATTACTACCAAGTGTCTCAAAGAGGAAGGCTTCCCCTCTGCACCTGATGTGAGTACAACTGTACGTCAATAAACTCTGGCTTTGGTCTGTACGTAAAGCAGAAATGTTTATTTTGTGAGGATCTGTAACCATCTTCTGTGTTCTCTTAAAAGTGACAGGCCCCTCACAAATGGCAGGGAGAAGGTCCAGATGCCTGCAGCCCCGCTCCCCTCCTCCTCAGCCCACCTCCAGTCCCTTAATGCAGTCCTTGGATGCTGCACCAGGATTATGTCATGCTTCTCCAAAGCCAGGTGAGTTGCTGTACTGCACATGGATGGGCAATGTGTGATTCCTCCTTTGCCAAGCGATCCAGGGAGGGAGGACAGGGAGAAGGGATGCCCCTGTCACAGCATCTGTCATCAGGGCTGGTGCACTCCCAGGTCACAATGCAGTTAGGGGCTGGTATGTGCCACCATCTCAATCCAAGATCACACTGTGCAGCTGCTCCTCCACTGAGGTTGCAGGTAGAGTTTGCAGGGCTATTTTTCTATACTAGCTGGTTGCTTTTTGTTTGCTGGAAGAAGGTGAGAGTGGCTTTGCATTAATGATGCCTAGCCCTGGGAGTCCAGTCCCAGCACTGGTCATTGGGATGACATATGTGCTGCCACCCTTCCTAAGCAAGGTAAAATAAATACAGCAGCATGCACTTTGGTTAAAGCAGCAGACTGTAAGCTCCAGAAATCATTAGAAATAGCTTTTATTTAAATCTGTTTTCTTCCTAAAAGCCAATCACTTCTTGAGAAGTGACTCTATTTGTAACCCACTACAGGGTTACAAATAGAGGGGGGGGTGCCAGCATATCCGATTATTAGGACATGAAATGTTTTTAAAATCCTCTCTTTACCTCCCAGTACGCTATCCAAAATCACAAGGTTGGGAAATGCTGAAAGTTATGAAACTCTCTCACAGGGCCCCTCAGGAACCACATCTCTGATATTCTGATGCACAATGCTCACCCCACAGTTTGTGCTTTGGTCCTCCGAGGGACAGTCCTGTCACCCTCATTTAAAAGGTTACTGACTGTGGCCGTAGCTTAACATGCCTGTGTCACCTCTCCAAGGGACACACAGTGAGATCACCACAAGCTAAGCTTCTTTCCTTGCTTGCTTTCCTTGTTGACATTTGTAAAAACTGTTTTAAAACAGCCATATTGTTAAATCATAGCCCCAACTGAATTATCTATTCTGGTGTAGGTGTAGACCAATTTTAATAAGGCATGTCCATTTTAGTGACACACTTTGTGAGAATCTAGGTCATAAATTGTGTACACTGAGAACACGGTTCCTTTCTCTCCTTCTTGAAACAATGTGGATGAAGTCGGTCATTTCTGGTAACTACTTTATCTGCCCAGTCACTGAGATACACTTAAATAGTAGTGACAGCTTCCAGAAGGATCAAGAGGTCAGTCAGTGAGATTACAGTGCTACTGCACTAAGGTCTTAGGATGGAGCTAGACAGACAATCAGTAAGTACCATCCCCTGTGGTACTTTACTAGGCAAGGGGAATCTTAGCGAGAACGTGCAGATATTTCAAATTATCTTCTTGCTAGTAACTACATTAAAGGAACTTTCTTTAATTCCTGTTAAACTTAGCTCTGCTTAATGATCTGCCTTCCTGTAGATGTAAAGGAGGGAGAAGCAGTAAAGTAAGGAGTGGTCTCTGTTCTTGGTAGCAGCGTGGAAGCAAGAGCAACACTGAAACACAGCGAGCGGGCAAAGATGTCTCAAGTGGAAAAGCTGTGGGAAGATGCTTCAAGTGGACTTGTAAATGTAGCTGTAAGTAAGGAATGATTTAAACTTGATTCACACTGATATGGTGGGAACAAGTAACCCAGAGTTAGGGAGCTGTAGCAGCAAAGCCCTCCAGCAAAGGGTGAGGTCTGTCCAACACCAGGCACAGCACTATATACAGCAGCTCCCTCCACTAGGCTTACTGCTGTAGGGCCAGGAAAGGCAGGAGAGAAAAACACCAAAGCGATGAATTGTTGGCTGCTCATTTACAAAACCAGCAGGGTATGAGAGAATTAGGCTGAGAAAGCTGGGGCTGTTCAGCCTGGAGAAGTGAAGGTTGCATGGAGACCTCATAGCAACCTCCCAGTATCTCAAGGGGCCTACAGGGAAACCAGAGATGGACTCTTCATCAGGAACAGTCGTGATAGGACAAGCAGTGGGTAGAAATTGAGAGAGGGGAAATTTAGGTCAGACATTAGGAAGAAATTTTTCCCTCTGAGGGTGGTGAGGTACTGGAACAGGGAGGCTGTGGATGCCCCAACCCTGGTGGTATTCAAAGCCAGGCTGGATAAGGCCTTAAGCAAACTTGGTCTTAGCGGGAGGTGTCCCTGCCCATGGCAGGGGTGGTGTTGGGACTAGATGGTCTTCAAGGTCCCTTCCCACCCCTTAACATTCTACGATTCTAAGTCAAACCTCAGAGGTATTGCTGCCACACCAGGGTACAAGGTACCAAACTGGGGTACAGGGTACTGTACTGGGACACAGGGCAGCACACTGGGGTACAGGGTACTGCACTGGGGTACAGGGTACTGCACTGGGGTACAGAGTACCGCTGCACGATCCCCTGAGGGTGAGAAGGGTGCACGGAGCGCTGTGACACCAAGGCAAGGCGGCCCCGGTCCCTCCCCCTGCCACGTCCGCCGCCCCGTCCGGCCGCCTCACCCCAGGCGCTCCCGGCTTTCCTCCGGGCTCAGCTGGTCGAAGCTCCGCGCCTCCTCCTTGCCCAGGAAGGCCTCGTGGTCGTACTGGAAGCCGGGCCGGTCCTCGTGCTGCGCTCCGGGCCGCGCCCGCTCCTGCCGCGCCGTGGGCTTGCCCAGCGCTCCCGCCGCCAGGAGCAGCAGCGCCGGGAGCAGCGCCCGCCCCGCACCGCCGCCCGCCATGGCCCGGGTCCGCAGCCCCGCTCCCGCAGCCCCGCTCCGCGGCCCTCCCGCCCGCCCGCCAGGCCCCTCCGCCCCGCCCCGGGCCCCGCTGCCCGCCCCGCCCCCGGCCCGGCCATTGGCGGCGGGGCCGGCGCGGCCCGGCGGGCGCCACGTCTGCACGGGGGCCCGGCCGGCGGGGCCGCGGGGAGCGACGGAGCGGGGCGGGGAGGGGGGATCCCGGGACCGGGCATCGCCGGAGCGACCCCGGCCCGCCCTGGTGAACGCGGAGCGGGGCGGGGGGATCCCGGGACCGGGCATCGCCGGAGCGACCCCGGCCCGCCCTGGTGAACGCGGAGCGGCGCGGCGGGTCTGTCCCTCTGTGCGGTTCGGTCACCCGGAGCGCCAGGTTGATGATGGGTCTCTGCTGTCATCCTGAATTGGTTAGGAGAGGACAGAAGCGTGATTTTTTTTTTTTTTCTCTTTTCATGGCAAGTAACAATAAAAGTAAAAAAACAAACAAACAAACAAACAAACAAAACAAACCCCAAAACAAACAGAAACTCCAAACAAAACCAAACAAACAACAAAAACAAAATCCCCCCTCTTCAGTCAAGACTCTTGAGTGTTACAGCAGCCTGATATCCCCGCAGTGTGGGGGGAAAAAAGGTTGCAAGCACTCTCACAGAGGATGTTTGTGGTGATGGGGTCACTGTCACTGGAAGGGAAGCAAACTTGGTATCCTGAAAATGCAGGAGGGAGAAAGCCCGAACCATCCAGCAAAGAGAAGGGTTATATTCTGTTCTGTTTTGCTTAAATTACAGGTTATTTTGCTCACAGCTGTAAAAGTCTCTAGTCAGAGGTAATTGAAATTTGCCTGATTCCTTTTCCTGTGTTACACTCTTAATTCACAGTCAGAGAATCACACTGTAGAGAGGACTGTCAATGTATGCAGCCTGTTGCAGGTTATGATCGTGCTGCTGAGTTCGTCCTGTGATGAACTGGTGCACAGTGTGCACCACCCGCAGGGCTGCTCTGTCCATTGCTGCTTTGGACCTGAGGGTATCACTAGTTCCAAATTGCAATGACTGGTTTGTCAGCCTGGTCCACAGGGTATATAAACCACATTTATGATGTGGTCTTTGGGTGTGCCAGTAACGCTGACATGCAATATGCTGAACCAGACCACAACTTCCCCTTGCACTGTTGTTACCCTGGTAGACATCCGTTTGACCTAAACCTGTAGCTGAACTGTGCTTGGCACAGGAGTTGCTTGTAATGACAGCAGAAATGTGGCAGTGGAGACTTCCACATTTGTTGTTTTCTGCCTTTTGTGACTCTTGCAAAGTATGAATGAGAGCCATGGTGGGCTAGTGCTGATTTTGCCTCAGAACCATTGGCAACAGTAGCAGATTTCAAACATTTAAACAGTCAAATATGTTGGGTTTTTTGCTTAATTAGACAGCGTGGAACACTAATGCACACCTTTCAGCTCAGTCACATGAGCTGCCCTTTGCTTTAGGTCTGGGCAGATTGTCTTCTGGGTGGGTTTGTACATCCAGAGCTGAGCAACTGCTTCAGTGCTGTTGGTGAGAGCTGTGATATGCATGTGGCAGCTTGAAAATGGTTCAGCTGATCAGATTAGCAGTGTTTGAGTTTACAAAGCTAATGAGATGTAATCCTTTTATTGTGTTTGGGTTTGGTTGCTTTATTTATTTATTTATTTATTTGTTAAGCATATAGCTGCAAAACAAAGTTTTCGTTAACATATTGAAGAATCTCATATTTGTGCAATAATTCAGGTATGACTCTTTTTGTGTCTCAGTCTTCTGAAATTCCTGTCCCTGATTCCTACATCTATAATATTGTTCTGACGTTTTCCCAGAACTGAGGCTGTGGTGAGGGGATGAATTTTTAGCTTCTGGATCCACAAGTCTTGGATTGTGCTGCTAGTTCAGAGATGAGTCATTTGCACGAGTAACAGGTAGGCTTTGCTGCCCATTCACCCCATCGGTGCTGTAATCAAGCATCAGCTTGATGCTTGTGGGATATGCAGAAGAACATGAAGTTGTTTGAGGGACATGGGAAATGAATCTATGTGTTTTGTTGTCAGAACAATTTGGAGCCGCTTCTGTGAGAAAAGCTACAGTAACAGCAATGCAGAATGGGCTAAGTGCCTACATGGTCGTTCATCTGAAAGCCTCCAGACACTGGGAGGGTTTGCCTCAGGGATATGGGTTCTGGCCGTTGGAACATTTTAATTTTGCCCTGGGTTTGGGTTCACGTGTGAGCGAGCCTTGAAATGTAGTGATCTTACAAGAGATGGGAAACCATGAATGTTCTGATCCCTCCAGTCTTGGTTCAGGACCACTGGTAATAACAATAAAGATTTGATTGATTCAATATGACTTTTTGTGGAAAAGGACTGATATTGTGATTACGTGTCCTTAGAGGGCTGAAGTCTTAGATTTTAATGCTGAGAATAGGGAGCACATTCAGTCAAAACAGTTGTTGATCTGGTCAGTCATAGTGTTGCCAGATCTTTGTATCACTCGGATTAACTTTTACATATTTTGCTGTTGGACTGTGGTGACCTTGAACTCTCAATCCTCTGTGAAGATGTCTTCTACTCTGTTTATTCAATTCACAAAATGGTAATTTTCTCTTAACTCCTCTATCCAAAATGCCTGTTTCCTAAAATATTGGGGTTTTTTTTCCCTGAAATATTTGTGTTTTCTGGTTTAAGGGTATTACTATGAACATCTCCGGTGAGAGAAACCTACTGCTACTGAATGATTAATTAGATTTAGAGTTTAAGGTACTATTTTTGCAATCCACGCTTCTTTCAGTAATGTGTGAGTTATATACACATAGGGTTTCTTTATAACATTGCAAAAGACCAGTCTGCAACATCGAAAATGTTTTTTAGCAATACATTTATGCAGCAGCAGGCATGCTGGGTAGTTTATAAGCTTTTAATGAAACACTGGCAGATATTAGGGTTTTATGGGCTGGAAAACAGTGCAAATCAAAGAGCTTTGCTTACTGTTTATAGCGCTTTTCCCCTGAATCTAACAATATTTATCTCACTTCTTCCATCTTGCATTTTGCTCTTCACATATTTACTTTCCCTTTCACTGATACATTTATCATCAACCAACTGTTTTATGTGAAATATACGTACAGCTACAGTATGCCTGTCATTGTGGGCATCCAGTTACCTGGATAAAGCCTGAGATTACTTGTTTCGCATCTGTCTTTGACTTCAGTCTGCCTTTATCCTAACGAGGGTACACATATCTTGCGTCTTTAGCCAGTATTTCTGGGCATCATTAATTGTGACTTCCCTGGGGCCATGTAAATGATCCCTAAGGGATACTGTGCTTTCTGACAGCCTGCTGGCTAACACCTGATCTTATCACATTTTCAGTAGCAAAACTCTTCTCAGAGCATATCTCTATCAGTATGTTTTTTGAGTCCCATCTGCTAAAATAGTCAGAATACTTGATGCTGTCATAGTGTAGCTTTCTAAGTAAGGACCTTTGTGTACTCTTACTTACATTTGATGTCCACATTAAAACTAGAATGAGATTCAGGCCTAAAGGCTGCATCATAGTTTGGCTTGAAAGGATATGGTGAAAAATAAAAGTGATGTGGCACCAACAGTTGTTAGAGTGCCAGTACACCTTCAGTTAAAAAGTCAGCCTGCAGAACTTCTTGAAATCTTCTGCCTTCTCTAAATCTGTGCAGCATCCTAACTATCATGCAAAGACATACTTATCCTGACATTCACAAAATTCCTTTGTGTATTTCCCACTCACGTGTAGTACCTCATGGAATTTGGCTGCATTTACGCAGAGATCCCCTTGTAAAGAGGTAAAGCACCGATACACTCACTGGCTTTCTCATCAACAAATCGAGTTCATTTCAGAGTCTCACATAGCTATGAATAACAGTCCCCTGAGGCAACCTGGAGGAATGAGAGAGTAGGTTTAACTGAGCAGTCTGGGGATCCTTTGTTATCAGGGAATGATGGCTTTCACGGGCTGGATGCTTAAACACAAGTGAGCTCAACTTACTGGTGGTGAATGTGGGGAAGTACCATCATCCTTGGGATCAGTGTGGCAGACTGCCTGGTTTCCCATGGAGAACTGTGAAAGGCTAGGTCTAGGATTACAGTCTGTTTCAGCTCTGAAAAAATGCATTCTGCAGCTCAGTTAGGGAGAATGGTGACCTTTGATGATAACTCTGTTAGTATTACTAGGAGGTAAAAATAAATGTCTGTGAGAAGCAGATGATTTCTAAGTAAGCAGAAGAACTTGTTTTTCAGAGAAGCTACAAATGGAAAACATAATAACTTTTCTCCTTGATTCTACTGTACTTTGTAAGTCCAGAACAACTAAATTACAATATTCCTTTGTACACAGAACATATGGTTGGTTTGGATGGACATGAGACTCACCTATGTCACCTCAAATTAAATTATAGTAACCCGTTTTGTGTTTTTCAGAATTATATTTTACATTTCAGCTGGGCTAATGTGGTTCACTCAGGTCATGGTATCAGTACTAATTTTTAAAGCCTTGTCTTTCCTGAGGACACAGAACACCTTTATCAAAGTTGTTGAAAAGTTTCCATGGATAACAATAGACTGCAGCTCAAGCTGTTTGTATACAGTGCAGCTGTATTTTATTGGAAATGCAACTGTATTGGTATTGCAGAATGAGCCCTTAACATTTAACTTATGTTGGATGATCTAGCATTAGATACCCTGTATTTGTACTTTCAGCCAAATTCTGCTGGGTGTTAATTGCTCTCTTCAGCTTGGGTGTACAACTGCAGATGGACTGGAACTTTTATCTTGGCTCCTGTGGGAAACTCGAAGAGATCAGAGTACAGTCAGATCCCAGCCAGCAAATAACAGCAGAAACATTGCAGGAGGGGAAATGGGGGAACTTTCAGAGAACCACTTTGATCACCCGTAGTTTTGGCTTGTCCTGACTGGCTGCTTCATCACACCATCATGTCCCTTGTCTTTTTCTTAGCATGGATGTAGCCTACATCATCCCCTGCCCCTTCTCTTTTCTTCATCTTTGGCTTGGTTGCCAGAAGCAAGTTTCTTGATATAATCTGCCCAAAATAATCACACCAGTACTGTGAGGCTGACAACCTTGTTTGCTCTGTACGATACACCACTTCTCTTTCTCCTTGCCTTTTTCATCTACTTAGACTGTAAACTCTTTGGCAGGGATTTTCTACTGTTTCTACTGATTGGTTTCTGGTTACTACTACTGGTGACTGTTTCTACTGATTTTCTACTGAGCAGGTGCAGTATCTTGCTCGCTTGGACGTGGTCTGAGTTGTCCCTTGAGGTACCGGTGTCAATAAGCATAGTTAACAACAATTTTGCATCACTCAGAAGCAGTCTTGAAGTTTTTTGCTTATCAGGAATCTTTGTGATTTGTGTTTTTTCAAACATTTACGTTTTCAAGTGTATAAGCAGATCCCTTGCTTCTGACAGCATGAATCCGTGCGCTGTATGTGCAATTTGCCCTGGTAATTACTTATGTATGGTGATAACCATAGCAACATCCCAGGTAGATAATGTCATGCAAATTACTGCAGCTCCAGGGATGGAAGATGTTAATACAAGTATGTACTCATACCCCTGGTCTTCAACATTTTGCGGTGACTCTCCCTTTCCTTCCCCAAAACATGTTGGTTTAAAATTTCCTTTCCTCACTATGATCAGAAAGCAAAAGGAAACCTCTTGCTATTTTTCTCACTCGTATTTGCAGAGGGAGGGGGAGGGTGGTCCTTCGATGTTTCTGTCATGAATAATTTTGTATGCACAGTGGAAATTCCACAGTGTATGTAGGGCATAAAAGTCTAGAGACTTGGATACACTGCGGGGCTGTGTTGTGCCTAAACTCAAGTTCTTGCATTTGTAAACACGGAGTGTGAGCACGTAGGGGTGGAACTGTAGCCACAGATGTTTGGACTGAGGTGTAGACCTCCTCAAATCATTTACAGAAGATATGGGAGAGTAGCTTTGTCTTTCAAAGCAGACATGCTCTGGCTGAATACTTATCAGGGTCAGTGCATTGTTACTGAAATGAGGAAACAGCAGAGAAGATGCTGGTAACAGTTATCCCTTGTTTAGTCATAAGCAAGAGCAACAAAAAAAATCTACAGAAATGCTGTTCTGCATATACACTAGTCCTTGTGTAACCTTAGAACCCTGGAGGTATGAAAATAAGATAAGCCTCTAACCCGTAACTAGAGTCTTTTGTTAAAGATATAAAAAAGCAGGCAAGAAAATTGGTTAAGTAAAGGTTTTGTTTTTCTAATGAAGAATGAAATTGTTGCTGATTTTTTTTTGCTTTGAAGTTAAATAGTGGGAGTGTTGGTGTTAGTGCTGCAATCTGTGCTGAAGTTACTGATTACAAAAAGCTACACTGCCCCAGCCATTTAATGAGGAAATACCCTGATAAAAGAGAGTGGAGATTTGTGGAGAGTCAGAGGAAGATGGTCCAGGCAGCCAGAGGCACATATGTAATCAGATCCCAGTTTGTAAGTGTTCCCAAAGCAGGCTGTGCTATTCATTAGGCCAGCACTGAATTGTCTTCATCATAAAAGCATAGTCTTTCTCAAACAAAACCATGATGGGGAGTGGAAACAAAATTTTTGAAGGCCTTGAGCAACTTTATTTGTGCTAGAGGTAGCAGATGTAGAGAGTGTTAATTAATTGGAGATTAAAATTCTATTAATCTGTATCCCTTGGTATTTGTACAGGGGTGTTTGCCACTCTTACAGGTCTGCCTACAAATCCCAGATTGTAAGGTTTAATCTCTTCCCCTCTTATTTCTCTGTGAATTAACAATTCAATACGTAGCCAATGGTAGCACTGGCAGCACTGTTCAGCTGTGCCACCCTGCCCAGCATAGCTATTGATGGCAGTGGAATTTGAAAGGTACACATATCCAGGTGATCCAGTTTGTTGCTAAACCTTGCAACAGTGCTTGGAGCTGCAGACATCCCTGATTTACACTGGAGGCTTTTTTAAAATGCCATATTTAGTTAGGACATCTACCTGAGAAAAACAAACTGCACCAGAAAGAAACATATAAAGTCAGGCTTTTTAATCATCTGGCAGAAACTATTGAGCCTAATTATCTGCAGGAGATTTTTTTCTGTCTGCCTGCTTTGCATATTGTAGATGTTTCTTTGTCATTTCTATTTTCAGCATGTGATTGTCTGATGATGGCCTCTCCTTAGATCCCATATCACATTGAAGAGAACAGTAGATGCCTTGGAATTACAGGGATAGCCAAACTGAGGCCCCAGCAAGTTAAATGGGCACTTCTTCAAAATGAAATGCATGATAACTGCACTGCTAGACCTCCTGGACCCCTGTTTATGTGCCAGTTTCGTTGTCTGACCAGTATCACAGCCAGACAAGACTTGACTGCAATTATCCAGTCTTCTGCTTTCCATGGCTAGGATGTCTTCTTCAGGACTGACCTGATCTCTTCCTAAGTAAGTCCAGGAGATAGTGGGGATCACCACTGGCATATTTTTTTGTTTCCTGGCAGTCTTGTTTTTAAAGTGTGTCTCTATATGGCTTCTATTTATTGCTTTTAATCACAGAGTGAGGTATGATTAACAGTGATTAAAAATGAAAAGGCTGCAAGTAACTTAGGAATGTCTGAGAAATGGTGTCAGTTTTTAATGAAACTCGTAGCACAGATTGAAGATTTTAAAAGTTCATCAGAGAAACTGCTGACGTTGCAAAGCTTCCCTCAGAGCTGCAACACCATTCCAACACATGGAAAAAAGTGTGCATGAGAAAAGATTTGTCTAGGTTAATGCCACATGTAGGGCTAATGTCGGATTTAATGACTGTTTCCCTGCTCAGGCAAGGGCATTGCCTTCCTCCATGTGCTGCATCCACTTTTTTTTTAATTTTCTTCTAGCTAATAAAACCAAACTAAGGGAACCTGCCAGCATGAACAAGTAATATTTTAAAATATTAAAAAATATAAAAAAAAAAAATATTTTTTTTATTTACTGTCTCTTCTCCTCACTTTTTCTGCCTCAGCAGTTGCTCACCTTTGCTAGTTTATGACATGATGTTCAAGGCAACATTGTGTTGTCACATGCAGCAGACATCGACAGGGAGAAATTGGCTTGTCATCAGTAAAAATTGTAAAACCAACCCTACAAAAAACCCTGCTTTTGACCACAACATCTGCCTCCCGTGTGCAGAAGTGAAGCACAACCCACAGCTCTCACTGGTCATTTTTAACCCACAGTTAAAATCTCCATGGGCAAAGGTCCAGTGTAGGCAAGACTTATCACAGGGATGAGAGATGTGTAAGTGCATCCCGGCAGAGCAGCCTGGAATGGAGGTATCCAGGGGAATGGAGGACCTCAGCTCTCTTTCCTAGCTCTTTCTTAGGGCATCATTAAATGGCAAGCTTCTGGTTAAGACTGGTCATTTTGTGTCTGTTATTGCAGGTGAGGAATGGCACAAGAAGCCCTGGTAACAGTTCACTTCCAGAGGAACGCATGGATTCCTTCATTATTCCTGTGGAGATTTCTGAAAGGCTGGTATGGCTGTGTGATACCTGCTCCAGTGGCTGCCTCCAGGTTCCTCCTGTCTCACAACCTCCAGACCTGGTCGTTCTTTCCCTGCTTGGATAAAGGTCCTTGTTTTGACAAACGTTAAGGCCTGAAAAAATAGCTTGCAGTTCTAAAGGCAGCTACAGCAGAGGGGCTGTAGGCTCAGACCTCTGGGATTTGGGGCTTAAGTGGGGAGAAACATGAATACTCACCTCTCAGTAAGCAGCTTGGCTTTCTGGGAAAAGCACAACAGAGCTGGCTTGGAAATCAAAGTGGGACACTGCCTCTAAGCTTAGACATTTTCTATTAATAATATATAACAAAATTGCCCACTGTAATTAAGCTACCTTAGGACAGAGGCACCCCAGCTACAACAGGGGTCTGTCCAATGTCCACCAAAATCAGCTGAAAACATCTTTGTAACTTTAGTGAGTTTAGTTTGTCAACGATGCAAAGCAAAGCCACACAGCTTTTAGGGCAGGAAGTGCAGTATGCTGGAAGCAATATGAATTCCTTTTGCTCCTTTTTGCATCACTAATTTTTATTTATCACACAAAATCATAAACTGCACATAAACTTAAATGCAGACATAATGTACGTTACTACGATAATAGAGAAGTTGTGCCCTTTTGACCAGACAGATGAGATAGAAATAGGCATATTGAGTGAGTTCTCCTCAGTGGAATGTTCAAATTCCTTGTTTTTCCAAATCTTTAAATTCTAACCTGTCTGTTAAGGATACAGAAGTATAATTACACTAAAATGTGCTCACGAAGGACAGCACATCATCTAAATTTCTTCAGACAACAGCATATGAATGTCCAAAACTTGGTTGAAAGACTTTCATACAGGGCCTTGTAGATTGGCTATTTGGAATTTACAAACCATTCAACCAGAATACATAACAACTGCAGTTTTGAATGTGTATAAATAGCACTCATGTAAGTAGGGTTAGCTGTTTAAATATATTAATTAAGGGAAGCCTGCATTTCCAATTGTCATTTTGTTTTGTAGCCATCAAGGTCATAGCACACCAGTGCCTGGCTGATGACAAGTATAGCAAACTAGATAGCCAAAGCCAAAACACCTATGGAAAAACATATTAACTAGTGCCAGAATTGTGAAGTGATTTAGATAAACTGAGTTATGAACTGAAACGAGCTATAGCACATGGCTGTAAATGCCAGTGAACCAAACAAGCTAATTCTTTGCCTGTGAAGTAGAGTTGAAACACATCCTATATGCAGTTTAGGTTTAAATATAAATATGGGATTACCTTTTAGGTTGTGAGACAGAATCATATAGGCAACAAACATTACATCTTGGGTCTTCTATGAGTGAAAACTGTTGTGTCAAATATGGTTAGTTTAGTAGGGTTGATGGGCTTTATTCAGGGTTCCTAGAATTTATCTGCCAAGCATAAATAATTATTTAACAACTAATAGGGCAAGGCCAGAAATATAATAGCTTTTATGTTGAAATTAACATCAAGTGATCTGTAGACATCTGCTAAGCAAGCCAAATGTGGTCTATGTGCTGTATGTTTTGCCTCACTGCCTCAAAATAACAAGCACTGCTTATATTTGGAGGGGCAGTTTTCCTTGTTGAAGTGGAAAAAAAAATGTTCTGATAGAAAATCACTTGCACTGTTAGGATCGAATGTGTGATGAACATTAAATAGCCCTACAAATTTAAATAATGCTCGATGTTGAGATTTCATCCTTGCAAATGCTCGTTTCCTGATGTGTGCTTACTGCGGTTCAGAGCGAAATGAAAGTCCTTTCTTGTTAGAAAGAAAACAAACTATCACCCAGTATATTCCTGCCCTGAGCTGTTTCAGCTTTCTGGGGTCCAGTAAGTGTGGGAGCCTGGTCTGCAGTGAACTTGTTTTTTCCAAAATGACCAGAAGGGTGAGGGAATCATAAGAAAAGCCACAGCGTTATAAAAGCCTGACAAAGTTCCAAGTGGCAAAGACCTTTCCAAGCAGATACTCGCTGTTGCCTTGCAGGGATCTGCATTGTGTGTGTAAGTGTTTGGGTTCTGTGGATGCCAGAACAGAAACTGTACTTCCTTTCCTTGAGAGCACCACTGTTGGCATGGCCTGTTTGCTTTGCTGGCTGTTGCAGTTCATCTGCTTTCAGGGCCAACCATTCAATCTTTGGCGTCTTCCCTAGGGGTCCTGACCTTTCCTCTGTTTTAAAAGTATTAGAAGGAGGTTGAATTGCTGAGTGGGGAGTGTAATCTTTGTGAGGCCAAGTCTAAAGATGTTAATAAGCTGAAAGGGCCACACTGGCAATTTACTGTGTACTGTGCAGGAATGAATGAGAGACTCATATTCATTGTGCTTATGTATGCTCAAGTTCTTTATGTCCATATTTAGATCTATTAACATGATAAGATTAAGCCAACTTGAGTTTCTTGAATGAACAAAGCAGTAAATGGCAGAGCCTCAACAAGAGACCCCATAAATGTGTACTACCACCAGCAGCATGACTAACACTGGACCCGAGATCCTGTGGGGTTTGGCAGTGACACAGAGGACGCTGCTCTGAACAAGCTGGATTCCCTTTCGTACAGGAGCCTTGGCACCAACCTCACTGTGAGCTGGCTCAGGCTTTTATGGGGGCACTGAAGGCTGGGCTCTGTGCTGGACTCAGTGTCTCTGCCCCAGGCTTTCCTGAATGCAGGAGTGCAGCCTCAGGCTGCTCTGGCTCACACTGCCAGGAGTCCCTGGGAGTTTGTCTGCCAGTTGGGTTAGCCAGAACACACAGTGCTCCAGCCAAAGTCAACTTCCCCCTGAGAGGGTGACCGCAGTAAGGAAATGTCAGATGCTGCCTGGGCCAGTTCTCAAACCACACTTCACCCTTCCCAGAAGGGATTTCCCCAGCAGATAAATGGCAGAAATCTCTGTCCTGTGCAGGCAACTCTGGAGGACAGAGTTAGAGAAATAGGACAAAACACCTGGACAAAGAGAGCTGTTACACTAACAAATCATAGAACCAGAGAATGGTTTGGATTGGAAGGGACCTTAAAGATCATCTGGCTCCAAACCCCTGCCCATGGGCAGGGACACCTTCCACTAGAGCAGGTTCCTCACAACAAACCTGGCTTAGATTGTGTCTGCTGCTTCAAATCACAAATGATGAGAAGGAAAAAATTCCGTTTGCAAAGGCCTCATCTTGGATTTCTTTATTAGAGTGGTGCACAAAGGAGTTTGGAGTGTCGTGAGGCAGGAATGCTACGTAATTTTGTCCATGGATGAAGCTCCTTGTCCAGCACAGGTAGGGCAAACAATATCCAAGCTGGATAGAGAGTGGCCAACCAGTTCTGTTGTTTGGATATTGCAGCCCTGACTGCTGCAGGGACTAAACATGGGACAGCATTCTAGGTGGTATAGGTGGGCTTCTTTGCAGGCATTCATCTGATGTGAGTGAGGAAGTTTCTCTCTGCAGATTGGTCTTGTCTTTCTGCGGAAAATGTGAATTGCTGATTCTGAATCATGACATGTAAGAGTTCCTGTGCAGTGCTGAGGGTGTGTAACAGCCCATTCAGCTTTACTTTGATGATTAGGTTTCTGCTTTTAGTACAAAATGCATGGCAAAGCAGTCATTTCTATGCATGTTCCAGGATGGTGCATTATTGCATTTTAGCACTTGACATGAGAGTAATTTACACACAGTCACTGCTTTGTCTTCCATGAAAAACAAACCCTCTACCAGCAGATGCAAGAAGTCTGGTAAAGATTTCATGTTATTAACGTTTACAGCATTTGTTGTAGTGCTGCCTGTTCATTACCCCATTTAAGAGTGTGCCCTTCTGCTGTGAGGGGAAGGCATCTGTTTGGAATGATGCTTCTTGAAAAATGTTCACACTATAATTCAGCATCTCTGCATCTGGAAAGATGCTGCTCTCAAGCAAAGTGCAAATTGGGACTAAGCCTGCTGTAAAAAGTGAAACTGGCCTGGTGTAAAAGCAGCTTTGGGGAAGAAGCAGCCCCTCTGATTTCAGAGGCTCCTTGCAGTCTTAGTGCAATAAAAGTCAGTGAGAAAATAGGCCATGTGTTGGAGGGAGCAAATTTGCTAAGGCTGTGAGGCAGGGACTGGTCAAAGGAGGGTGGAGGCAAATCTGAAACTCTGCCTCTAGCACTTACCATCCTCCAGACAGCACCTTCCTCCTCCTCTCCCAGGGAAGCACCTCTACTGTAGCCAGGCATTTTACTGGGAGTGCAGAAATGGCTGGGTAAAGAGCAGTGCTTTCTTTTGTCTGTTTTCCTTCTGAAGGTGACTCTAACTGTTTGTTTCTTCCTTTGACTGTTCCTCATGCTTCCACCTGGCCATTTCTTCCCATGTGAGTGGAAAACCCTGCCGTGCCTCCAATTTCAGACACTGTGGTCATGAGGGGGTTCTGCATGGCCCTACGCACAGCGGCATCACACAGGTGATGGAAAGGTGCAGAAAGGTAGCATCATGTAGTGAAAAAAAAAGAAAAATCAGGGAGTCCTTAACTTGGCATCGTGCTCTCTTACTGTTCTTGCTCCCTGCATCCCCCTGCTATCCTACTGTCGTGGCTGGCAGGGACCCTGGACCTGATGAGGTGCTGTATCTACCTCAGTGATGTCTGAGACATGGCCAGCCCCACACTTGCATATTTTGGTTCTGTGTGCTGCTCAACAAAGAGCAGAATTTCTATGTTCTCTAGAAAAAGTACAGTTTGAGCTGCCTTTATGCATCTGTTTCTCCCTGTAATCAGGGGTTCTCTGTTGGTTTGGGTCTGTCTTTATCTCCACAGGTCTAACTGGCAAAATGAAGGTGTGATTGCAGCATGTTTGCCTGTCTTAATTTAACTGGCAGAGGTAATAGCAGCAGTGAGGATGCAGCAGCACTGGCCAGCAACCAAGTTATAAAGTCTCCAGAGACCTTGTGTGTATATCTCAGGGTATGTTGACACTGCAACAACTGCTGCTTGCAGAGATACCCTGAGATAGCTGT